AAACTAACTTTTGGTAACGCATTAGATGTTGCCGCTGTTTCTTGCTTGGAATGTGTTGCTGTAGGTACTTCGTCAACGAAACATTCATGATCACACAACGATGCTTTTGTTATCACTGAAAGTCATCCTATAAACTTGACGCAATAAACTTACATATGGCACGTCTGCGCTCAGAGGCGTATGGTAACGAGACAGTTATATTGCTTTGTTGCGTAGATGGTAACATGGAAGCACTAGATTGTACCCCTTTAGCAACGAAAGAGTGCCAGACCCCATTCATGCCTCCTCGGCAGGAGAGTTGGATAGATTGGGAACTCCACCTGGGTAGTAGAGCATTCGTAGTCTCTTTTACTCTGCCTTCAAGGAAAGACTAAGTCCCGCGGCCACCGCTATCCTACCCTCCCGCGGAGTTAAAAAACTCTGGCGAGAGTAACACAGTTCCTCTGCTCTTGCAGTGCTCCCTCGAATTATGTGAGTGTGGTAAAACGGCTTGAGGTTGCAAGCTGCGGCGGATGCATTTTCAATTGAGCCGAATGTTATAAAAGAGGGAAAAGAAGCACGAAATTCAAACATATGCAAAAAATGAAGTTGGTACGACACGAGAGCTGTACTAAAAGCTCGCGTACTTAGATGGAGGGGAAGAAACTCTAGCGGGGGGGGGGGGGGGAGACTGCCACAACTATTAAATCAACATCGTGCCTCATCACATCGCTTGAGTATAAAAGACTGCAGTGGAAGTACAGCCTAGAATCCGTGTTGCACACCCGCGCTGGAGCTTTGATCAAGAACCGTGTAGTTTCGTAAAAATGCTTCAGTTTTCTTAGCGGTACGAATGAGGAGATTGATGATGGTAAATAATGAGATATTCTAAACTAAGTAATAGAAACTACGGATATATAAAATGATTAGAATAATCTGAACATAAATCCAAGACGGGATACAAGTAAAAGGCTGACGCACACACCGCTATTGCTAACAACGGTGGCCTAGTTGAAGAAAAAAAAGAAGCAAAAGTTTAGGGATTGTTTTTCTTTTGTTCGACAGAATAATAATGAATAAAATTGGACAATATTTTCAAAAAAAGTATACGGGCTGTTATTAGCAGCAATTCTAATGTAAATGGGAAGAAAAAACATGGACAAAAGGATAACTTTCCACCACCAAGATCCGAATCTGCGACTTCCTAACAACGCGTCCAACGGTCTACCAAAGGAGCTACCACGGCGGCTAATCTCTTGTCGACTTTTTGGAGTATATCGGGAGGACAGGCTCAATTTCGCGCAGTGCCGTTCCCCGCCCAAGTGGAGAGAGGGCAAAGCTGCGGTCGTTCGAACGGGCTGTGCTTGCTGGGTTTTCACATTGTGCGCACGGAAAACGTGTTCCTTGGATTGCTTAACTCGCATTTTCCACAATCTGAGCAATGCTCCTTCGTCCTTCTGAAAAGAAGGCACGCACTACTGTGGAAATGTGAGCTGCTACAAAACTTTAAACATGACGAAGACCTGAAAACTGCCCGTCAAGCTATACCGTTTCCAATGCGAACAATACGAGAAACAAAGGCGTCAAGAGAGGATTATAGTAGTTCGCCAATACTCCGCAGTCTCGTTACTTTGAAATTTTTGTCGTGCACAGTACTACAAACTATTAATTAACTGAAATCATCGTGATGGCCGGACTTATAATAAAAGAAAGCATGTTTGTAAACTAAAAAAACTGCAAATAGACAAACGATTCGCATTTGGCGGTTGGCCTCTGGCTTTCCGAGACAACCTTTGGTAGTGCGAAAGCGGTGTAGTTTGCTAGCTAATTTACGTCAAATATTGTACTGCGAGCCCTGCAAGTGTTTTTCAGCTGATGGCTGCAGACTCCTCGTCACCACTCAGTGTAAACAGATTAGGGCTGCGAGTTCGCGCAAAGCCTTTACACGTACAGGTCTTGCAAGCAACACCAACCGATAAGTTATGATGATGAGCTATTGTTATGCTGGAGCCGATGTAATGAGTTCGATCCCCGCATACGCTAGCTGTACTTCCACGGGAGTGAAACGCAGTAACAGTGTGCTCATTCATATTTTGGTGAGTGGACATGGGAATAACACCACGCCGACATTTCCTAATCCACTGTTCAACATGCAGCCTTTTCCAGTGCTCCTGCTGTCGTGGTCAACGGCTGCCTTTGCCAGCCCGATAAACATTTTTGTTGCGCCGATAGAACCGACAGTGTTTTCGTTCATGCTCTACTCTGGGCATGTGCACTTCCCGGCTAAACTTCCTTCGGCCATCGACTACGGACTGCCAATCACATCGACCCTGACATCACCACTGTGAAAAATAGAAGCTGCTGCTACCACCAATCTTTCTTAAGTGGACAGAGGAACAGCACCACGCCGACATTTCCAAATTTATGTTTAACATGCAGGTCTGTCAACCATTACCACTTTTTGCTAGGAAGTCAGATTATGCCTTTCTGGCAGTGTTCCCATGTCCACGAACACTTTGCGTAGTTTTTTTGGACTGTATTTTATTGTTTTACTTTTACTACGCTCTGGGGACATTGAAAAAAATTAAGGACCCACTACTCGCTCAGAAGATCTTTTAGATATTGAATCATTGGCGGAAAACCCAGCCGAGGAGATGTCCGTTCTCTTTATATTAATCAAGGATATTCAACGTGCTCGTTACAAAGTGTAAAGTTTCAGAACGAATTAGCTGCTGACATAAAGTATAATAAATGTTGCCGAAAGACCATACAGCTAAAAACTGTGGTCGTACGAAAGCAGCTGGATGATCTCGAGCAAAAATCTGGAACCCTAGACAAAGTTAAGGAAGAGTTATCTGTAATGCATGCCTTGGTCAACAAGCTTGAAGCACGTAAGACTTTGTTTCAGTCATGACTTGACGATTTGGAAGACCACTCGCAGCACAATAATCTTATCTTCTATGGCCTTCTGGATTCTAAAGAAACATGGAACGAAACAGAAGCCAAACTAACTTCTGAAATAAAGTCAGTTCTTGGTTTCTTCACAAGCAGCCGCATTGAGAGGGCGCACATGTTGGGCTCCTTTTCTTCCACAATACCCCGCCGAATAATTGTGAAGCTTACTGACTATAAATCTAAAGAGCAACTGCTAGCGCTCCAAAGCCAATTAAAACAAAGAAACATTGTTGTGTCAAAAGATTTTTCCCCAACCGCTCGTCTAGCCCGCAAAAAGCTAATTGAATTCCGTAACAATCAGCCTAATCTTGCCTGCTTCAAACTCCACTACAATAAGCTGGTAGGAAAAAGCAAGTGGTATGTTTATAATATTAGCTTTGGCATGGTCGAAGAATTACAATCGCATGCTTTTTAAGTAGATCACACTCGGACATCAACCTACAAATAGTTCACAATAGGGAAGTGAGAGGGGCGGTGGCCTATTATTACCTTCGCCAGCTCAGCTATCAATCCTTGATTCTAACACGAGAAGCTCTGCAAATGAATCTGACTCCTTATCATCCATGATAAATTCGGCGGCGCTCATGTAACTGCCCTAACAGAAGCGTGGCTTTATTCAAATACGCATCACAATGATTTGTTTGATAGTTCACAAAATTTTACTTTCTATCACTGGGATCGCAATACGTGTCGAAGTGGACGCGTGCTCCTGGCCATATCTGAATGCATTCCATCGTAATGCATACAGATTAGCCACAAATTCAAAATAGTGTGGGTTCTACTAACAATCCGTCACTTAAAATTATCTTAGAAGTATGCTATCGAACTCCTTCATCTGCACAATTTTTAAGTGAACTCCACGATTTAACAAGCATTGTTGCTTCACCTTTCCTTTGACGTCATTGTTCTTAGTAGGTGATTTTAATCTCCCTAACATAAATTGAACCATTCACCCACCATTCTTATCACCCTTTTCAGCACACGCCAAGGATTTCATAGATATCTGTTCTTTTTTTTGGTCTGTGTCAACTGGTCGCCCAACCTACCAGACTAACGAGCACTGCTTCAAATGCCCTTGACCTAATTTTGACTAACACATCCACCTTAGCTTTTGAAATCACTTATCGGCCTGCTATCAGCGATCATTTTCTACTTGCTTTTAACCTTAAAATGCCACCTCCCTAACGAACAAACAATAAAAGAGTAATGTGTGATTACGAAAAAAGGAAATTTTAATGTCATTATTCCTGAATTGTCCAATTTAATTACAGTGAAACCTCGTTAAACCGTACCGGCGTAAACAGTAGTTTCGTTTTAAAAGTAGTGAAGTTAAATCTATGACTCGGCGGCTATTGAACATAATGCATTTTGTATCCGCATAAGCCGTACCAGCTTATCGCGTATGTATCGGTTCATATGTAGTTTTTTTTCAATTTTCGTTGCGCACTCACCGCGGCATGTCGTCCCCCACTGTGTGTCCCGACAGAACAGCAAGCCCCAGAGATTGAAACTCGCCTCGCTTGTTTGTGTTGATTATGATGGCGGTTGTGTTGGTGAGCGCCATCTCTTAGGTTTTTCTGCAACAAGAAGCACTCGGCCGGCTAGGTTTCTGGTGCTGTCCACGCGATGGCGCTTTGCACAAACACGCAAACACTTTGTGCGCTTGCTTTGCTTTCTTTGTTCCTTTGGCGCCGTGCATAGGTGTTCTCTAGTTAATCCGTGCCATACAGCTCTCGCGTTTTTTTTTTCAAGTGTTGTGTATGTGTGCTTGTGCTGCTTCGTACTTGCGTGATGCTGAAGCTGGGACAAAAGTATCGAGTGCTGAAAATAAAGAAGTTCGACATAATTCGTGCTATTGAAAGTGGCACGAAAAAATCGGCGCTGGCACGTGAAAACGACCTGCCGTTAACCACTGTGTGTGGAATTTGGAATTTCAGGGAGAACTTGATCGGCAGTGCTGCTGCAACTGCGAAAAGGTGCCGGCTACGTGGTTCGGCGTTTTCGGATGTAGAGGAGGCGCTGGTGAAGTGGCTTAAAGCTGCACGGTCGAAAAATCTGCCTATCAGCGGACCCCTGCTCGTGGGGAAGGCCCTGGTGGTTGCCTCGCCGCTCAACCTTGACAACTTTGTGTGCAGCAATGGCTGGCTGGCCAGATTTAAGGCGAGGCACGGCATTACCACGTGGACTGTTTCGGTAGAAGGTGCTCCTGCTGGCGTGGATGGCGCGGAGCAGTGGCAAAATGTCCAGCTGAAGAACATCTTGGAAGACCACGCACCTGATGACATCTTTACTATGGATGAATCGGTGCTATTCTTTCAGCTGCTACCAGACAAAACGCTCGCGTTAGAAGGCGAGACGTGCACCGGCGGCAAGCATAAAAAGACAGAATATCAGTGGCGTTTTGCGTAAACATGACTGGAACCGACAAAACTCCGCTCCTCGTGATTGGAAAGTCGGCGAAGCCTAGATGTTTCAAAGGCGCCCGGTCGCCATCAGGGGTCATCTATCGCAGCAACACGAAAGCATGGATGATGGCAAAACTCTTTGAGGAGTACGTGCGCCTCATCGATTCTCGTTTTGCGGCTAAGAACAGAAGAGTTGTTATTGTTTTAGAAAACGCTTCGGCGCACGTCGCCCTGGACAACCTGACGGCTGTGAAGTTGGCGTTTCTGCCACCAAACACAACAGCGTTTGCCCAGCCCTTGAACCAATGCAGCATTCGAGCTTTACAACAGCTCTACAAGAAGAATCTGCTGCGCAGATTTTTTTCTCGCCATTGAATCTGGCAAATTATTCTCCATAGTCCTGGTTGGCGGGATTCACCTGCCCAAATACCCGTGGCGGCAGGTTGAAGCAACGACAGTTCAGAATTGCTTCAAGCGTGCTGGCTTCAGTGTGTGTGCGGGCGACGCACATGACGCCAGTAACACCATCGACCACACTTCAGACATCGTAGACGAAGCTTGCAAAACTCTGCTAGCTGAGGTGTTGGAGCGGCAGGGCGTTACGGAAGGCATTTCCTTCCCCGACTTCAGAGACGCAGACAGCGATGTGCAGACATCTGCGGACATGTCCGACGAAGCCATTGTTGCCTCGGTTGTCGAAGTGTCGCCACATGATAGTGATGAGGACGACATGGAAAGCGACAACACGGGTGATCCAGGTCCGACTGTGGCCGAAGCAGCGCATTGCGGCAGCATCATGCGGGTATTTGCCGAGAAGAGAAGGCTGGCGGAAAAGCTGGCTCACAGCATAAGTTTGAGGCCACTGTCGTTGCTGCTCAAATGAAGATTACAGACTTTGTCACGCGAAGCTAATAAATTACTGCACATTTTTTGTTCTTTCATCGCACTCCCTGAAGGTTTCTTTTTTAACAGGTAAGTGAGCGGCCTGACGCTATTTCGGTTAAGCGGTACTACCGTTTAGTAGGTACTTTTCCCGAGCTCTGGCCAACTATGATTGAACGAGGTTTCACTGTAAGTCCTTTTTTCCTCAGTTTGATGATCACTGTGTACGAGCAAACTAGAATCTTTTTGCTGCAAAAGTAGATGAACTTACCAAAAATTACATTCCTAACCGTATCATCATCTCTAACCAGAAACCACCATAGTACAACGCCAACATCAGACGACTGTCTAACTCTATCAAACGACTTTACAAATCGGCGAGACTAGCACGCACTGAAGAACGTTGGGCGATTTACAAGACTGCACACATCTCTTGCATTGCCACCTCGAAATCCTTCATTCGCACTTTCTTTTCCGTAAATTGACAGAAACGCTCTCAACCAATGTGCGTAAATGTTGGCGCCTAATGAACCCTCTGCCAGATAACAACATAGCTCTAGTAAATCATTTCGACAATTCAGTTCCTACTAACATGTGTGCCGATCTTCTTAATCACACTTTCAAAAAAAACTTTTCTTTAGTTGGTAATGTCATCCTGCCTCATGTGCCGAACTCCAACTATATCCTCATGCCCCTAATTTTATAGATCCTTCCGGTATTGCAACAATAGTTGAATATTTTTTAGTACTTCGAAGTGAAGTTACAGAAGAAAAGCTGCAAAAGAGTCCTAAGCACATTATTAGGAATAGAAATATGGCAATGTTTTTTTTTTGCTAGGTTGGCGAAGATCTGGAGGGAAAGTGCTCCCTTGTTTTATGAAGGATGAGGCATCACAGACCAGACTGCACTTATTTATATATGGTGCAACCAATGTGGTGCCAACAGCAGTTTGCACGTGAAAGGTTCTTCCTCCCCCCCCCCCCCCATCATTTTCTGTGGAGGCCTTTCTGATTTGGTGGACAAGGGCGTGCTCCATTCGAATTTGGAGTTGCTGATCTGCCCTGCAAATGTTTGTGTGTAAAACACCTGAAATTTCAGGCAGTGACAAGGTTGCTACAATTGTCTTCAGAAATTTTGGTCTGAAACAATAAATAAAGCGTCTACGTACCTCTACCATGCAGGTTTTCACCAGCACTTTCGTGAGTCAATCTGATTTTGCCCGTAGCCTAGTCTATGAAGCGGTGAAGCATATCAAAAAATGAAGGGGTGACTGTAACGGCACAGTGCATCTTAATGTTGGAACCAGCATTTTCTCGAATCAATGCGATTGCTACCATAGTTCAAAAGGCAGCTTTGCCACTGAGTAAGATTGTATTGAAGTAAAGCAATTAAAAAACCTTCAGGGGCCGCAGTCAATTGGGCATTGACTGTTGTCTTCGAGAAGTTCTAATAGCAAAACTTTCAGTGGAAAATTATCGAATAGCAAGTATTATTCGAAAAATAATTGAATGTTCAAATATTTGCACACTGTTATTTTTTCTAAAAGTAAGAGCTCGTATGTGCAACAAACATATTTACCATCATTTATAAATTGGGTAATGTTGTAATGAATACTTCGTCTTTTCCACGCCCTGGAGCACTGCCTGAAACCTTGCGGAAAAAAAACAACGCAGGTCAACCCAAAGATGAAGCTGAGACGAGGGGAGAAAAAAAAACAGAGAAGTCATTTTCAGTCTTTCAATCATTTTCTGTGCAAGCCTGCAGTTTTTGCCCATGGGCACCTGACACTCCATGTTTTCATCAACAATGCATTTAATTACGTAAAGAGAAGGAATACACGAGGACCCGTCATACAAAAACACACCAGCCTGGTGCTTTCCAAACCACGCCAGTTCGTGTCACACCAGAAAACGGCCGTATTCACCAGACTGGCCGTATACGCAAAAAACCGTGTCTGAATTCCCGCTCTGGTGTGAACGGGAAACACACACCAGACACAGCCTGGTGGATTTTCGACTGGGCCATGCATATTTTAATGGCTTATAATACACATAACGCAGAAACAGATATTGGAGTATTTTTTAAACAGATCATCGCTATGTATGAACTGCACTACCTTTTTACGTACCAGTTGACCTATCCAACCCTCGTAACATGTGAAATATTATTCAAATCTTTCGTTGAAAGCTAGGTTTCCCTGAAACATTAAAAAACAAAAAACGCACCACACTCAAAAAGAAATTTAAAAAATTTTAATTGCACAAGAATCTTTGTGACGCAACACTGGTCATTCACTTAAAGAAAAGGCTAACTTGATAGCGTCAAGAGCTTTTAACAGACAACAAAACTACGCTGCACTGCCATTCGTAACCACCTTGTGCGGGACTACCTTGAAGAGTGCAGCGCTAGAGCCAAACGAACCTCGCCACATCGACTATCTCGTAAAGCGTGTGCATATTCAACCAAGTGATAAGCGTATGATAACTGCTAACACCTCTGCACACGAGCAGCCACGCGTTATTAATGCAGCACAAGTTGACCAGTTCTATCTTTCTTTTAATATTTATAGATCATCACCATCGATGTGGAATTCTTTATAATAGATCGACTTGCGATTGCCGCCCGCTCCGCTCCTAGACTCGCGTAAAGTGCTCGTGCAGCGCAGATAAAAAAATTCGTGTCCTCGCAAACAAACCGCTGACGTAGAGAAGCAGGTTTTATTGCAAAAAAAAGGAAAGAAAGAAAACGAAGTCACACAGCCGCCGACCAAAACCCCAATCCAGATAAGCCCAAAGCTCATGTAACCCAGGGCTCGCACGCATGCAGTGACGCCTCTTTATGCACTTGTTGCGAGTTTCTATTACATAACGAAACAGTGGCGAATCACCATCCATGAAAACTGTGCTAAATGACCACCGATGCGTAATGAGTCACGAATGAAGCACTGATGTGCCCGTTAGTATTTTATAGAATGGTTTAAACGTGCATTTTGTCACCACGGCTTCGCAAGCAGCCAAGTGTTTCTCTCTAACAGCAGACACCGATGTGCGAATTTCACATGAGATGGCTTTTTCTAATGCAACATGCAATGAGAACTCGCTTGTCTAAATAAATTAAGAACTAATGGGTGTAAGCCGAGAGTGGGTTGCACACGTTCTGCCACTCACGGAACCCATTTTGAGAACAGATGTGTACGTGCCAGAGCGTCCGGGAGGCGCGTTGAATGCACAAAAATGACGCCACGTTTGCAGTTACTCGCTCACGGCAAACACGACAGCAGGTGGCCGGATGCGGCAGCGTCGACATGAAAACTACAGCGACCGGAGGAATGCGCTAAGCACAAAAAAGAAACGGAGAGTCAACCCCGCCACGCTTGCTACCCGACTCGGTGATTTTCGCTTGCCGACAAGGGCACCAGAACACACAGTCTAGTTATGGTAGAAGCCGCACGCTCGATACATGGCAGCACATTTTTTTCTTTTGGGGGGGGGGGGGGGGGGTGTCATGCATATTGTCAAAACTGTAAAAAATTATAGTGGCACCATAGAAGTCTATGTCACCAGAAAGGTGCAAACGGGAAAAAACAACAACAGGGTGCGTCTTATTTGTTAAACTCGCCATTTTTCCCTACTAAAGCTGAGGTTGGCATCGAAATTCCAGCTTTTGAGGCTGTTTCGGAGGAGTTCGATGCAATTTTTTTTTATTTTCATGCTTTTGGAGCAGCTTGGCGCAAAAAAACGGAAATGTTTCAAAAATGTGCAATATGCGCAGCTGTGTCACTTTTTCTCGAAGCACGTGTGTTGGCAGTACAGGCCCAGGTGGCAAAAGCCTCTTGGCCTTAAAATCAGCTTTATCCAAAGCGATGATAGATTG